CAACTTTTTCAGAAAATCGTCACTGCACTGTTTCCACAGCAACGCAACTTCGATTGCCAGTGTGCGCCAGGCGAATTGGACGACATCCCATCTGTCACTGAAGAAGAATTGCTGGAGGTTTGTAACCGTGTAGGGAATAATAAAGCTTCGGGATTGGACGGAATCCCTAATTTAGCCTTGAAAACCATCAGAAAGGCAGCTCCAACATTCTTCCTAGACGCTTATAATGCATGCCTCAAGGAGGGGATTTTTCCTCGTAAGTGGAAACAGCAATGATTGGTACTGTTACCTAAAGGGAAGAAACCACCGGATGAACTGTCATCTTACCGCCCACTCTGCATGCTGGATACAGCGGGTAAGATATTTGAACGTATAATTCACCAGAGAATTGAAGCAGTAGTCGACGCACTCCTGGCAGACAATCAGTATGGATTTCGGAAAGGACGATCAACCCTGGACGTAATCAAACTGGTTGTTGATACGGCCAAGGAAGCAATCGCAGGAACCAGATGGGAGGGTGGAACGAAGAAGTATTGCCTGGTGGCGATCCTAGACATCAGAAACGCCTTCAACTCTGCCAATTGGGAATGCATCATGCAGGCTCTCCAAGAGAAGAATGTACCAGAATACTTTCTTAAGATCGTAACAAGCTACTTTGAGAATAGGGTCTTGAAGTATGACACGAAGAACTGTCCGAGGGAGTATGATATTACTGGAGGTGTACCACAAGGTTCAGTTCTAGGCCCGCTCCTGTGGAATATTATGTATGACGGTCTATTGAGACTAACTCTGCCAAGAAACGTCAATTTCGTAGCATATGCAGATGACGTAGCTGTAGTGATCGTTGCTAAACACGTTGACGAGATAACACATATGTTCGATCTTACTTTTGAGCGCGTTAACCGGTGGATGGACGCAGTTAACCTGCAACTGGCGCAACACAAGACTGAAGCAGTGCTTATTACCAGCTGAAAAGTGGTAGAGACCATTAAGCTGCAAGTCGGCGAACAAGAAATCACATCACAACTTTATATCCGATATTTGGGAGTGATGCTTGATACCCGTCTCAACTTTACACAGCAAGTGGAACACGTCAGTGCCAAAGCGTCAGTAGTGAGGGCTAGTCTCGCACGATTGATGCCTAACGTCGGAGGCCCAAAGCAGAGCAGTAGACTACTACTATCATCTGTAGTCACATCAGTGCTTACTTACGGAATATCTATCTGGGCGGACGCACTAGAAAAGCAAGAATCATGGAGAAAGGCTGGGCCAGTATACCGTCTGGGTGCCCTAAGAGTAGCTTTCGCCTTCCGCACAATATCTGAGGAAGCCGTGTGCGTCATTTCTGGAACTCTACCTCTCAGAGTTTTAGCTGAAGAAAGACGGAACCTTTACCAACGAAAGAGGTCAACAACACTGAGCGCAGAAGAACTCAAAACGGAACAAAGACAGCACAGCGTCGCACGATGGCAATCTCAGTGGGATGCCGCAGAGAATGGTAGATGGACGCATCGTCTCATACCAAAGATCGACATTTGGCTAAACCGGAATCGCGGTGAGGTCAACTACTACCTAACACAGATGTTGTCAGGACATGGCTGCTTTCGGGCTTATCTTCACCGCTTTAGGCATGACGACTCTCCGGAGTGCCCGTCCTGCCCTGGAGCCACTGAAGATGTAGAGCACGTTTTTTTCGAGTGCTCGCGTTTCAATCAACAACGTGAGGAGCTGGAGAAGATCCTGAAGAAGACAATTCAACCAGAGTCAATCGTAGAAGCAATGCTGTCTTCAGAAGCTGCCTGGAATGCAACGAACACTTTTGCCACAGAAGTGCTTACAGAGCTGCGTTCCATCGAGAGAAAAAGAGAAAAAGACAGAACCTAGAAGGAAGAAAACATCTTAGCCACCAGAAGGAAGAGCGGCAGCTAATTCCTCCCCCCGCGAAGAAATGCCTTACGGCGGTACCATGGGGGATCAGAGGATAGAAGAGAAAGGGGTTTAGGGTTTAGTGGGTAGGGGCGTCAGCGTCAAGTTTTAGTATGATGCTGCGTCGAGTCGCCACATATCCGGGCCAAAATCTATGCCTAGAATCCGTAAAAAGGATTCCCCCCCCCCTAAAGGGAAAAAAAAAACACACACACACACACACACACACATACAGACATAGTGACAACATCGCGGGGGTCGTCAGGGAAGCTTCCTGTAACCTTCAAACGTCGAGATCTGATGAAAACTCGATTTTTGCAAAACGGGGTGAAAACAATAACTTCCCGATTTTTGAAAATCTGAGATTTTTAGCGGGAAGTTAACAATTATGAAAAACGATTCATAAAACAACATCTTATACGGTTATTGGAGCAATTACTATGGAATATTTAATCGTCATCCATTATTTCTAGGAAAATTTCTCGTTATTTTTTATGCAGTTATTTCTAACTTTGTGTTATATTTACACAAATTCTTATGAAATATTTTGCATGACTACTTAAAACTAAATTATGATGAAATACTAATAAATTAACTTATAGAATAAAGTAACTATCATAATCTTATACTAATTAACTAACATTCTTCATTTGAAATATCTAAGTCTAAAATTTCAACATTAATTTACGTCAAAGTAAACAATGCATTTAGTTGTGAGTCATGAAAATTGAAATCCCTGTTATCTTCCTTTTGGACTTCGTCACTGAATAAACAAGAAAATATTTTGTATATATTATATATTAATACATATTAGAGTATAGTAATTAATGTATTATACTTTCCTAATTACTTATCCATTAAGGCCATGATGAACGTTTTACTGACTTGATCCCTACCTATCATTCACGTTCCGGCGCTTCAATACTAATGAGTACAGTGTCTAAAGTAATGATCAGTGTACCGAGATTTTTTTTAGTAAATCGACAATTATTATTTGCCACGATGTTGTTCTATTTATTTGTGATTTTATTTGCCAGTGCTCTTGTTCAGGTAATTATTAATAATTTCAATTTTAATATACTATTTTCTTACATTTTGGGCTTCTTATCACTTAGATAAAAATCATTGTTACTTAAAAAGTAGATAATTAAAATAATTTCACTATAATTTATTGAAAAAAATGTCTTTTATAATTTTTTACAAACTAAATTTACATAATTTTATTATAATTATTTGTTGAAATTTTTTTGCATCAAACATGAGTAACCACTTGTTTATATAAATCTTTAGGTTAGATCAAAATACAAATTTTTATCCACGTGTATTTGAATAATCATATTTTTAGTAGATTTCATAGAAATCTAACTATTGCATTTGTCCTTATGGCGGAACTTTTGAAAAATTTTGCTATTTCCTGACTCAGTTCGTCGAGCTGGTTCAGAAAATACACATGGTTCAAGAGTTTATTTATATATTACTCTTTTTTCGTGCAATAACAACTCAATGCAATGTCCTATTAAATTTCTGTAAATTACATCTCAATGCTTATAAAATAAGCTTTAATCTGCATATTTATTTTTAACTTCCCGCTCAAAATCTCAGATTTTCAAAAATCAGGAAGTTATTGTTTTCACCCCGTTTTGCAAAAATCGAGTTTTCATCAGATCTCGACGTTTTAAGGCCATAGGAAGCTTCCCTGACTACCCCCGCGGTGGTGTCTGTATGTCTGTATGTATTTGTGTGTGTGTGAGTGTGTGTGTGTGTGTGTGTGTGTGTGTGTGTGTGTTTTGGTGT